AGGGTACAGTATGATAGTATCCATCACAAACTTGAATACCATTCACATGCTATGAATCAAATTCCATTCATGTGCATCAGCCCTAAAATATTTATTTATATACACAAAATGGGCACAGAGTGTTCATTGCATCATCATTTATAGTGTAAAATGTTAGCAATAATTGAAATGTTTGATAATAGGTAAGTGTTTAAGTGGATTGTGGTATATTTCTGGTATAAAATACCATGTAGACCTAGAATGATGAAGGTTCACTGTGTACTACATGAGAAGATTCCAAGACATTTGTGAGAAACATTAAATCACTTATTATGTATAGGATAACTCCAAATGTGTGTTAAAAAAAAACCCTTGATGTATATATGTACATGTTTGTGTATTACATGCGTAGGAAGGAGTCTAGGATTCACACCAAATAAGCAAGGATACCTCTAGGATAGGGAATGAGAGAAGGGTTGGAGGAAGGACTTTTTTCTCCACATGGTTTATTTTTATGGAGAATGGATGTACGTGTTCTAACTTAAAAAATTTGAGGCGTATCTCTAGTTCCACAGTGGAAGGTGAATTGCAGAGATGATTCCTGCTCTCAAGTAGAAAATTACTTGAAGCACGTTTCAGTTTTTCAACTGTGAAATGATCTAATTAAAAAGGATCTGATCATGAGGATTTTGTACTTTGTGGGTTGTAGATGACTTGTTCTTTTCATCAAAGTGACTTCAATTGTCTAAGTGAAAGAGGCTGAGAATCCAAACTGCAGGAATGAGGATTGGAGAGAAGATGAAGAGAATTTTAGGAAGAGAAAGTGATTGGATTTAGTAAGCATGTGAGAGTTGGGGGAAAGAATAGAACGGAAGATAAAATTGAGATAGGGAACACAGGAAGAAGAGCAGATTTAAAGGAAGAGGATAATGAATTATGTTTACTGTGTTGAAGACCTGTGGGAAATTCTCCTGAAGCTATCTAGCAGATCGTTTGAAACAAGAGTCTGGTGTTCTGTAAGTCATTGGTATTTAAATATTTTAAATCATGATTGTTGATAGTTGAGATGGCCAAAGGAAGGGTGTGTTAGAGGGAAGGAAGATGCTAACAGATGGAATCCTGGGGCATTAATGTGTAAGGAGGTAGCAAAGCAATCCCTGAAGTCGACTGAAAAGTTACGTTGGAGAGTTTTATCCAGCATTCCAAGGATAAAGATGATGAGAGTGGTCAGTAGCATCACACTCCACAGGAAGCTGGAAGAAGAGACATTTAAATTTGTATAATACTAGGGACTTTGATGAGAATGGGTTGTAGTGGAGAGCCCTCTAGTGGAAGGGAGCATGGCATTTGGGGAACTGGAAGAAGCCTGGTGGAGCTGAAGCTCAGAAAAGAATGTGAATGATACTGGTTGAAAGGCTTTTCCATCCTTCAAGCACAACGTGATCGCTTTTCTTATCAGAAAGAAATTAATCAGGGTTCATTTTAGTCTCTCAATGTGTGAAGGTTATATGTAAATTTTTCTTTTCTTCTGCCCTGTGAAAGGTAGAAAAGAGCTTTTGAGGAGCTAAAACTTGTGGAGAATGACTTTTTTCCAGCAGTGGAAAGTGAGGGGAGTTAGGAAAATTTTCTCCAAAGGAGAAGTGCCAAAGCTGACAGTAAAGATAGACTGCGGGGTCTATTGACACCCAGCTCAACTGAAGTTCCAGAGACATGGACCCACCCCAGAAGGAAAAATGAAAGGAACCTCACTTACCAGCAAGCTGCTAACTAAGAAAAATCATTATAAAATGTTATTTTCCATATTGAATTTATATATTAGTACCTTTTCTGGAAAAAACTACGTACACTATTACTTTGTTTTCTATATTTATTAAATGAAAACTGAGATTAAGTTTACAGGGAAGAAGTTCTTTATTTCCGCTTCTCACAAAAGATTAGAGAGGAGAATATTCTTTATTACCTTCTCTCTCTTTGTTTTATTAAATTAATAAATACACATAGAGGAAATTTGAGACAATATATATTAACAGTTAACATTGCTTACCCCAGAGTAGAACTGGCTAGGACAGGCTGAAATTAACATCTTTTTGCACTTCTTTTTTTGTTTAAGTTAATTACAATGTTTATAAAACAACCAATAAGTAGGTAGTACTTATAGGGAAAGGCTGAAAATAAATTAATACATAATTTAAGAAAGACTGAGAAAATAATATAGAGATGTACAATGCAGGAAGAGTCTGCCCCTCTGAATTCAGATTGTGTATCTTTGACTGTATATAAGATTTCATTACTATGCAAAACAGAATGTAGATTATGTGAAAATATATGTATTCATTAAACTATATATTCTTTCATTTATATCATGGGCATCTTTTCATATCAATACATATCCATTCATTTTTTTAAACACCACATGGAATTTTTAAAACTTTTTTGGGGAAACTTTTTTTTACTGAAATATAACACATACAGAGGAAACTATCTAGTTTAATGACTTTTACAAAGTGAAGACACACATGTAACCACCATCCAGATCAAAATCAAGAATGCTGGTCACTATATAAGCCTTTCTCATCCTGCCTCCAGTAATTAACCTCCCCCTTCCTAACCACGGATAATCACTATTCTGATTACCATCCATGTAGATAAATCGTATCTGTTTTTTAACTTCATGTAAGTTGAATCATACAATGTTATGTGTGGCTTTTTTATGTGTGTCTGACCTTTTTTGACTCATGTTTGTGGGATTTATCCACGTGGTTGTACACTGCAGTAGGTTTCCCCTTCTCTACTTGGTGCAGTTGTTTTTAGTAGGATGCATAAATACCACAGTTTATGCCTTCTCCTGTTGATGGGTGTTTGGGTTGTTTAATGCTTATTTAAACCTTCTCCTGCATGTCTTTTGAATACACTTCTTTTGAGTATGTACACATTTCTGTGCACTGTATACCAAGGGAAGAAATGGCTGGGTCATATGGTATCCCTTTGTTCAGCTTTAGCAGACATCACCCAGTTGTTTCCCAAGAAGGCCCTGACATTTTACCCTTCCATCAGCAACGTGAGAGTTTCACACACTCCATGCCCTGCCGACACTTGGAATTGATGGCTTTTGGTTGGTTGGTTTTGTTTTTTTGTTACTCGTTTTCATTACTCTTTTAGAACATTGGTTTTTAAAAGTGCCCAGTATTTTGTTTTATGAATATGCCATGATTTAATCTCCTTTTGATGGGCTTTTGCCCCCTTCCCCAACTACAGAACAGCCAGAATCTGGACAGCTCTAGTATCTAGTAGGCTCTGTGGTTTGTTGTACGTGCAATCTGACTGAGAAAGTTTTAATACTGACAGTAACAGAGTCAATATATTCTCTCTTTCTTTTTTAAATAGCTCTTCCTCAGAATCCCAATGTTTTTGAGTAGTATGATACCAGTATAAGAATCCATGTAAAATAGTTTCTTTTTGTTGACATGAAAATCAATTTTGATTTCATGGTGGTAAATAGTTGTTTTCTTACTCTTCTTAAAAAGTGATGTAAAAAATAGTATAATGTCTGAAACCAGGTTTTTGGTGAATGCATTGCTAAACACAGCCAATTTAATTATACTGAATAATTTTCATTCTCTTAGAACAAGCATACAGTGATAGCTGCCAGCACCTGCATCACGTAGATCTTCAGTCCATTGGAAAACTGCTGTGTGAATGACTTGAGAATATAATCCCTTTGGTTTTACAAAACTCTTTGAACTTCACCCTTTGAAAGTAGAAGGTGTTTCCAGTCAGACAACCATACTTTGTAGCCCAGTCTTTCTTCTAATAAAATTCCCCTCCCTCATTTTCTCAAATTTTCTTTTAATGTAGGTTTTTAAAAATACAAAACTCTAGGGGCTTGCTTTTAATGAGTTAAATGTGATCACCAGACCTCCTGCTGCTTCTCATGTTAAGGAGGTGTGATTACTTCAGGATAACCGGTCTTCCTGCTATGCAGTGCAGCTTTAAACAGGTGCTGGCACAGGTGGCATTGAGTGCTATCCAGTTACCATAAGTAATTCCTTGGGAGAGTTTAGATACTGTTAACCCTCTGTGGTAGCTGAATGGTCTTTTGGAAAGTGCTTTATGGGCATATTAGACAGTTTTATATTTCCTATTATTCTTTGCTTTTGCTAGTTGTATGTTGAATTACTTATGTTTCAAGTGGCTATAATGACCAGAAGGAGCAGGTTATCCTCATGTTTGTAAGTTTTGGACTTTTTTTTTTTACTTTCACATGAGGAGGTTTTTTCCATTTCTAATTAATTGCTGTCAATAACTTCTTAGCTGTAAGAAACTCCTGAAAACTGAAACTGCTGAAAACTGCTGCTTTCTATTCTGCTCTGTGTTTTAATAAGGCTTTGTTAGAAGAACATCTTTACCTCTTGAGATTTCTTAAGAGGTCATGTTGTAGCATAACTCTAGAAGTCTTCCAGCTGTTAGTTATCTGTGCTACTAACGAGTCTGCAAATGAATTAATAGATGAATTACCCTAAGTGAGTTAACAAATAACCCAGAAACCTTATTGAAGAGAGTATTTTCAGTGACCTCTTTTTTCCCAGCCCCTAAATCTTTTTATCAGTATCAGTAATGAATAGCAAAATGTGCTGGCTTGATTTTTTTTTTTTAATTCTCAGTATCTCTTAAAACTTCTAATCTTCTAAACCAAGATGGTAGTTGAAGGAGCATAAATCAGATCAACGTCTGACAAATAACTATCACTTAGAAACCTCTTTATTTATCTCATATTCATGAGATTAATTTAGAGACCACTTTCAAGTCTTGGTAAATAAAATGCTTTGACCTCTAATAGATCATTTCTGAATGTATCCTTGCAGTCAGCTTTTACAAAGAGGCCCAGTATTAAAAACCTTTGCTCAAGTTGCAGCTTCCTTATAGACTAACAGAGAATAAAGTACCCTGTAACCTAGAACTGACCCCTTATTAAATTCCCTGTAACTTCAGTACGCACAACAGCTATTTCTCTTTCTGCGTAGGTATCAGTCAGAGCCGGATCTCTCACTGGCTGTTACAGCAGGGATCAGACCTGAGTGAACAGAAGAAAAGAGCATTTTACCGATGGTATCAGCTCGAGAAGACGAACCCTGGTAAATATTCTTTCCTTTTTTTATTGTATCTGAAACAAAACAAATGTAACTAATTACTTTATTGAATCCACATGCTGATTTGTCTTTCCCCAAGGTAATTTCGTACTTCCCCAAGTAGTTTTGTTCCTTTATGCCAAAGAACATCAAGTCATTTTCACTGCTTCCTCCAAGGTTCCTCTTTGTTTCCAGATTATATAACATTTCTAACCACAATTTGGAGGAAAGGTCATGATTGTCAGTGGCTGATTCTTTTACCTCAACTATAGGTACACACATAAGATTCCATGTCTAGTTTTGTGTGTGTGTGTCTGTCTTGTTTTAGTTAGTAATATAAATTTAATACCTTTATTTTGTTCATTCTATACCATATCCATACCGTATCCAATGATTTCTGCTAATGATTTTCTGTTTCTGATTCTACTTCTGGGTCATGAATGTGTGTTTGGATTTTAGGGTGAAGCTGCCCTGATGACTTTAGGAGCAGTGATAGGTTGGAATGTAGAATGAAATTTTAAAAAGAAAAGGTCACAAAAACCTTTGTATCTGAAGTTGCCAGAAACAGGAAAGATTTATTGCAGGATACTTTTAACAGGTGGTAATATAGAGTAAAATCCAAAGTTGTGTGACAGGCTGTCTCAGGGTACACGTTACACAGACTGGTGGCAGTGAGATCAGTCTCAAGTTTAACCTTGTGGTAGAGCTGCCTTCTAACACTCCAGCATTAAAGTCTTTGCTTACAGGCTAAATCATGAGTTGGAATATTGTGTATTGAAGACTTTTAGCTCATAATAGTATTGGTTCTGAGGTGGAGATAAAGTTATAGACACATAATTTTGTGTATGTGTCTGTGGTAAGATCTTTTTTTAAAGATCCCCTTTTTTTTTTTAAATTTGAAAGGCTCATGCAGGGCAAGACAGAACAGACCATATCAACCTCTCTGCAATAAATTTTTTGTATTTAATCTACCCAGTGCCCCATTTTCTATATTGAAATGTTTCAGATGTACAGAAAAGTTGAAAGACCAACACAGCTAACCTGTTTACCCTCTTAGATACAAGTTGTTAACATTTTGCTATATATGCTTTATCCCTATAAAAAAAATAAATGAATAAATTTTAAAATGTATATTCACATATACAAACACACACTCCTTCTTGCTCTTTAGCATTCATCTCCTGAAAGAAGAGTGATTGCCTACATAGCTACAGTCCCCTTTATCACATCTAAGAGAAGTAATTATAATTCCATTGTTTCACCTAATATCCAGTTCACGTTCACATTTCTTTAGTTATAGCTTTTTTAAATTAGTTTTTTAAAATTGAAGTATAGTTGATTTACAATATTGTGTTAGTTTCAGGTATACAGCAAAGTGATTCAATTATATATATTTTCAGATTATTTTCCATTATAGGTTATTACAAGATACTGAGTTTAGTTCCTTATGCTACACAGTAAATCCTTGTTGCTTATCTATTTTATGTATAGTAGTTTGTATCTGTTAATTCCATACTCCTAATTTATTAGCTATTTTTTATTAAATAGTATGTGATTTAGGTTGACAAATTAGAAGTTGTTATGTCTCTTTAGACTTTTGGGGGGGTAATTGGGTTTGTTTGCTTGTTTTATGGAGGTGCTGGGGATTGAACCCAGGACCTTGTGCATGATGCTAGGCATGCGCTCTGCCACTGAGCTATACTGTCCCCCATTATGTCTCTTTTGACTTTTAGATCTAGCCACTTAAACTTTTTTTCATGACATAAACTTTTTAAACCATCTAATCTTACATAATGTCCCACATTCTGGGCTTTTCTGTTTCCTCTTAGTGTCAGCTAACTTATTCTTCTGTAGCCCCTGTATTTCATGTAAACTGGAAGTTAGGATTAGAGGCTTGCTTAGATTCAGGTTAAACTATTTTGGCAAGAATATGTCATAGATAGTTTAGGGAGGACATTTATTAATGGCTGCAATTTACTTTGAAATTCATCAAAATAAAATGGATAGGGAGATGAATATATGATTAAGTATAGTAAATTATTAGATTGTATGGGTGCATATTTTCACTATAAAATTCTTTTATTATTGCTGTATGTTTGGAAATCTTCACAATAATACACTAGGGCAGAACACTTTGTAGGTAATGTTTAATGTGTTACCATGTACCAAGAGGCATTGTAATGTCAGGTTGTAGCACTGTTCATTTGCTAAGTTTGATTATTTGTTAAAGTAGTGGCCTCCAGATCCTGATTTTGAAGTTTGTAAATAATCTTCAGGGCATTGTTTTGCCACTGGATAAATAGCCTTTTCTGCAACAACCTTTTGCCAGTGGTCTTAGCATCCATTGATCATGCTCACCTGAATCAATTATCCCAGTGGGGGTTTTCAAAATGGTGATACTGCAATGTAACATTCCTTCAATATTTAATAGCTGGTAGTTTTTCTACAAAGAAGAACTTTCAGGCGAAAGAGGATGTGACAATGAATGTATGTATGTTCATGTATAACTGAAAAATTGTGCTGTATGCTGGAATTTGACACAACATTGTAAAAAGACTGTAACTCAATAAAAAAATGTTTAAAAAATAATCAAAGAGAAAAAAAAGAAGAACTTTCATTTTTAGATACTTTTCTAATGATACCTAGATATAAAGGCAAGCTTCTCAAAATACCGACTCTCTTGTTGCCGCCATTGGTTAAACGTTCTAAAGCAGCACGGTTCAGTAGAAGTATAATGTGAGTGACACATGTAATTTAAAAGTATCTAGTAGCCACATTTTAAAAAGAAGAAATAGCTAAAGTTAATTTTGATACTGTATCTATGTATGTATTATGACTTATTATGAATTCAACATTTAATATATACTTTAAAAAGTTATTGAGATCTTCCTTTCTCTCTCCCTTCTTCTTTTCTTTCTTCCTTCCTTCCTTCCATACTGATTCTTTGAAATCCAATATGTATTTTACACTTAAAGCACATGTCACCTCCAATCAGCCATATTTGAAGTGTTCACTAGCCACATGTGAGTAGTGGCTGCCATATAGGACAGTGCAGCCTAAAGAAGGCTCATGTGGAGGCAATACTTCTATCTCAGCTCTAAGCAGCCTTCCCAAAGACATCACTTCTCCCGTGATTCACAGCAGAGCAGATGGAAAGGGACAAAAACTTGGCACTTGGTCTGTTTAACAGAGCAGCTTAGGCAGTGATAGTGAGGGTTGGGCTAGGTAGATAAGGAACTGTGCCCAGGGGTTTCATAAACCTGATCATATGCCAGCAATTGGCTACCAGGAGGGTATCCAAGGGATTGACAAGATGTTCCAAAATATATATGGCAGAGCACTGAAGAATTTGGAGGAGAAACACTAGTCAACTATGTCAGGCAGTCAGCCTCCATAAGAGAAGGGATTTTTGTCTCTTGGATTTGGCATTTAGATTAGTGCCTGACATAGAATCTAATCATAGCTGGTAGCGCTAAATTCCCACACTGGATTTCAGGGTTCAGCTTCAGTCTCAGGTAGGAACTCAGATACCGGGAAGAGGGATTCACTGGAAACAAGAAGGCAGACTCTCTGATCAGCATTGTTGCAGCTGATCTGATAGCACTGCCAACTGTGGAATACTTCTGCTGGAATCCAGTTTTTAGCATTAGGGTGATATATTGTTCTTCTGAAGCTGTTTTTGCTGTTTTATTTTTGTTTTTAATCTTATTTCCTATTTCAGTTTATCTTGATGTCAGAGCTGGGCTTGCCCACCATTAGGAAATTGGAGGAAGATGGAAATAAAGCATTGAAATAGGAAAAATGGGAAGGGACTAACAGCATTCATCCAGCTGTTTATTAGCAGCTGTTTTTTTTTTAAGGGTATAGTGCCTCCTTCTAAGAATGAGTTCCCCTAGTTGTATGCATTTGTTTTTCAGTGAAGTTGCATTACTAACTGTCCCCCTCTTAAAGGACTTCCTGTTTTTGAGAATCAAATCCACTCTAGTTCTGAGTTCTTTCTAGTTTTCTAGTCCAGTTCTTTCTAGCTTAGTTTCTAGTTTTCTGTAGGACATAATTTAAAGTTAACTGAAGAGAAGAGGATAAGTTCATAATTGTCAGTTGGTAGTTTTCATTGCATCAACAGTAATTGGGTATTGCCAATTGAAGTTTAACTTTTTAAAGTTTTTCTTTGCACTTTCACCTTTATTATAAGAGCTAATAGGGTATAGAATTTTTTCTAGATAAATGCAGTTTTATTTTGTTGACTTTAAAATAACCTTTGATTTTAGCTAAAGAAGTGTATTCTTATTCCATGGACACTTTAGAACTATTGTTCTAATAGTTCTAAATTAATTTTGTGTGATAAGATGAACTAAAAGTACACTAGCATCTAAGAATAGCTTATCCACTGTCTGGTCAATAGTTGCTTGTAGTACATGAGAATCTTCTTTGTAAGTCATTGCAGAGCTGATTGGAATCCAACTAAGTGTCCCTCAGTCAAGAATGGTTAAGTGAGTTGCAGTGTGCCTGCACAGTGGGGTACTGTGGGGCCGCACAGCTGCTGCTCTTTGGAGGCAGCTTTATATGGATTGAATTTATATGTGGCAGCATCAAATTAATAAGTGAATACAGTAAGGTACAAAACAGTGGATGTAGTATATTGCCATTTATATAGGAGGAACACACACACACACACACACACACAAATAAATTATGTAAACATAGACCATCCCGGGAGGGTGTGGTAGGAACTGAGAAGAACAGCTCTGTGGAGGGGAACTGAGAAAATGAGGACAGGGGTGGCAGGGAGACTGGTGACTACATGACCTTTTTGTGTCTTTCTAAACTTTGTGCCATGTACTTGTGCTGTATATTCCAAAAATACAAACAAAGTGTGATGAAAAGGAGAGAGAGGGGGAGGCATTGAGGAAGAGAGACAAAAAAGAAATTAATCTACCTTGTTAACAGCTTTCAAGATATGAAAAACTGAAGAACCTAGGTTCGCATAGTTCAGACCTGCATTTAAG